ATGTTTCAATTATTCAAATACATAAAATCAAGTGAGTTTCATATTTTTTAAATTTTATATACGAAATGAAAAAGAAAAAACTTCATTTTGAAAAACTATGTATTATATAATTAGTAATTATTCAAGTGGATTGGGGTGGAGTTTGGATTGAGTCGGTCGGGTCACGGGTTAGTCGGGTTGTGGGTTCAATCAGATTGCGGGTCAATCAATTTAGGATTAATCGGGTTGCAGGTCAGTCGATTTTTGGGTTAATTGGGTTACAGGTCAATTAGGTTGCCGATCGAGCGGGTTACGGGTTGTTTACTTTTAGTCAATTCGGATTGCGGGTCGGGTTGATTGGAAGGGTTAGTCGGGTCCTGTTCTGTTTTGACACCTCTAAATGCTTCCTTATCGTCGATATTTATGATTCTATAGTGTGATACTATATCATATGCATTGTGCTTAGTATCATCTAGATTGATAAGAAATTACCCTCCAGTGATACCATATTGATGCTACACGAGTATAGAGGGAATGACCAACCATCTATAGCTCAAGTAATACCAATGCTTGATTGTTAGATCGTCGATGCTGTATACCTTCTATTGTGGTTTGTAGAAGCCCACACTTAACATATGATATCCTAACTTCCTTGTTCTTCATTAATTAGGTAATGACATGAAGCGAAAGCACATTAGCTAGTTAAATTTCTGACTCAAGAGGCGCATGCATGGGTAGAGAATGACCTTAGTGGAAGGAATAGAGTGATGTTATAGATGAGTCATTGATACATATTGTGATTGAGTATTAGTATGCATTATGTTATTCGACGCTTACCTTCTTATACAATAACGTATCTTTACTTTTACGCATCTATGAATTGAAAACTCATAATAACTTTACTATTATTGCTTGTTGGTTAAATGAAACCCCCTAAATGCTTGTATTGTTTTCATGTGAGTCAATGATGGTATGGTATGAGTAGTTATGCATTCAATGACCATGTGGAATACGACCCTAGGACATCCTAGGATTATAACTTCAATCTATATCGTATCATGTTTTGGTGCCATTGTCGGCGAACTACAAATCCTATATAAAAGCATCTAACCATCTTGTGTTTAGTTTAGAGTTTCTTTTGTTTTGTATATGGTCATATGAGTCCAGTAAGTACTAAAAGAAAAACAAAATATCTAAAGATTGTGCAAAAGATCGTCCAAGGAGGAGCCACGAGTTCACCCATCTTGAAGACGAATGAATGAGAATCTAGCTTAGGAGAAGAAGAGCCCTCAAGACCCACCAATTTTGAGCTAAGCTTTAGAGAGGAAGAAAATATTGACGAAGAATACAACTTCGATTTAGAAGAAGAAGGAGAATCTTTTATCTCTTCAACTCCATCAATGGCTGGAGAAGTAGGAAAAAGACAAGTGGACATCTCATCTATTTTTTATGAGTACTCAAGGCCAAGAGCATCCAACATCACCTCAAGCATTATTGCGCCACCAACTACCATAGAGATCCGAACTCTACCAATCCAGATGGTGCAACAAACTGAATGATGATGATCCGGTGCAACACTTGAAGACATTCTTGGAGATCGTCAATTCCATAGTAGGAGATGATGCGACCAAAGATGGAATTCGACTACGAGTTTTCCCATACTCTCTTGAAGGAGAAGTGAAGCAGTGGCTTGAATACTATCCACCAGGAATCTTCACCACATGGGAGACCCTTGCTCAAGCATTCATCGAATTGTACTTTCCACCTTGGAAGACAGAGTAGCTTAAAGATGAGATTACTCGATTTCAATAGAAGGAAAGAGAGACTTTCTACGATATTTGGAGGATATCCTAGGAGAACATCAAGGAATTCCCCCATCACGGATTCACGCATGAGTAGATTGCAAAGTACTTCACCAAAGGCCTCAATCGAGACAACACGATGATGGTAAACCAGCAACCCGATGGAGATTTCACAATAAGGATGGGAGTGCAATGCCAGAAACATTTTGCCAAACTAGCAAGGAAGTCAAAGAGCTGGTCCATGCGTCCATCAACGATCAAACCATTAAAATCTTCCAAAGGAAGGGAGGATGATATCGCCACCCTCTTTGCACACATGAAAGAGCTGACCCAACAAATAAAAAGAGCTTCAATGGAGGGAAAAAATGGACCGGTGGCATCCTTGTTTGTTTGTGAATATGTGGAGAAGAAATTCATGAAGGATTCGACTGCCATAGCCAAGCAGGGCAAGGCCATGCTGATGTCAATTACATAAATCAAGGATATCAATCAAGACCTCAACAAGGGAGCTATCTTCCTTGTCAAAGATTCAACCAACCTCGCATATCGTATGATCAATGGCCTGCTCAAGGAATAAAGAAGCCCAAGGACTACCCCCAACATCACCACTACCAATGCACCATATGTTCATGAAGCACAATAGTAGAAGAAACTAAATCCACTTGGGCTTGACAATCAACCTCAATATAATGTGCAAGGAGAAGGTGTATCCAATCAGCAACCCACCATATTCGAGAAGCTGGAGGCAACAGTGATAGGAATCTAAATGAGCTACAAGAATATCGTAAGACAACTTGCACTCCTCATTGATCCATAACCTTAAAAGCCTCAAAGAAACGTACCGAGTAACAAATAAAACAATCTAAATAAGGAGGAAGTCAAAGTCATCTCGACAAGGATGGAATATGCTTGAGCATGAAAAAGGAATAAGAGAAAAAAGCAGCTGAGCATCCATCCCTCTTCATAAATCTGATAGAAGCTTTTGGAGGAGTAGAAGTGGTAGTGCCAATATTGGAGAAGATGATTTCCATGGGGGATCTTAAAGGAAAGCTCGATATTTTCATGGAGGAAGATGTCCGAGTCAAAGATAAGGAGGTCACAATCAAGAAAATTGTCCTAGTTAATTAAGTAAAGGAGAATCCGTGGCATAACCATCAATGTCTCTTGGATGACCATCATGTGGAAAAAGGTTTAGTTTACCTTGGATGAACTGTCAACATACTACCACTGCATAAATATGAAGAAATTGGACTAGCTAACATGGAGCACATCAATGTAGAGATCATGCTAGCAAAAAACAGCCCTTCCTGAGCTCTTGGAGTTTTTCGAGGCTTAAGCACCGAAGTTGGCCCATTCATATTGTTCCCAACTACCTATTTGAGACAAGCAAAGAGTACTCAATCTTCTTTGGAAGGCCATTCCTTGCCACTCTTGGAGCAATAATTGATGTTGTCAACCGAGAATTAACCTTACATGCAAGAAAGCTCTTGTACAAAGTGGAGAAGCCAATTTAAAGAAGTGACAAAATCGAGGAGTATACAAATGAGGACCCAAATGATGAGATCAAGTCCCAAAGTATGGAGGCGAGTTGAATAAGGTTCCGCCAATTCTAGGTCTGAAACTAGCTCAAATGGCACTAAGGATAGCTAGTACAAGGCAAAAGACAATGCTAGAAAAGATCGAGAGTTGGAGTATGAGACATCAGGAGAGTATCAAGAGTTCATCAATCGTTATCAACCTATAGGTATCAACAACGATCAAATCCTTGATACGGAATGGGGAGATGAAGATGAAGTGAAACTTGAACGTGAAATTAACTAAAAGGGAGCCTCGAGCATTGATCAAAGGCATAAGAGAGAGAGCCCTCCCTGGGAAGCATCCCATGTCTGGCGTCAAACTTAATGATGTTAAACAAAAGTGATATCGCGGATGCAACCCAGATTTATCTTACCTAGGTTAATTTTTAAATTTCAAAGTTTGTTTTTGGCTTGAAATTTTGAGTTGCTCATTGGAGAAAAACATTTGAATCCCTTAGATAGGTATTATACTTGGAGAAATTTTGAACTTATGACGAGAATGGAGGATTTAAAGACGTGAAAATAGTACGAAATCAAATTTTGTACTATCGAGGTAAGTGTGCTAACGCAAAAATGCTGGAAACCGAAGCAGAATGCTAGGGATGCGGCAGCAACCACCCTTGTCGTACCACCGCCACTTTCCTAGTCACTATAAATCCCCCCATTTCGGTATCCCTAGTATAATTGTAGCATCTCATGAACTAGTGTTCCTTTTTAATCATGTCTCTTTGTAGTTTTGGTTTGTTATTAGTAATTTTTCACTTCTTTAATGTTAATATTTATGTAATTAGTAACACCGTAGTTGAGAAGATAAAAAAATTATTATTCATGGATATCTATGGATACCTGAAACTTGATCGGGTATGTGATGATTTTAATTTATTGGATGCTTATGAGTATCAATAAAATATACACTAGTTAAAATATGAATTAGTTGAATCTTTGTAATTCTTGGGTGGCTGGTTGTACAATGATGGTATGCCAATAAACCCATCGATAAAGTTTTAAGATCGTAACAAATTTCATTGTCATAGACGGAATTGAGTAAAAATCAGGCGATGTGAAAGTTATCATTACTTGTTGAATGCAGATTATTATTATTAATTTATTATTCTTTGAATTAAAATTATTAGTTCATATATAAAAGAATGCATATTTTTTGGTTCCAAGTAATAATGTACACAAAATAACATACTATTTAGAGAGAATTAAATAACAAAAATTGATAGAGATCATACTATGTTGAGATTAATATCAACATATATCAGAGCTCGGCACATGAAAACGACCAAAAAAGTAAAAGGTACATAAACAAAATATTATAAAGAAACCTTATGTTATTAGTTAAAAAATGATACATAGACATATGGTTTAGATAACACGTGGGTATTGTGAACTTGAAAGCACCCATACTTTCGTCCTTTGATAAAGTTGGATGAGTGTGTTTATCCCCAAAAAAGGGAAATAAAGGAAGAGAATGAAAATTCAAAACTTGACAACTGAAAACCGCCATCAGAAGAGTGCGGTGGAACCACTAAAAATGTTTGAGATCCAGTCCTCCTCCTTTGTTGCCTCTTTCTTCGTAATGAGGGTCTCCAATTTCATCGATCCTTGCCAAACGATTTCCCCTCACCATTCTTATTCCGCATCCACCTCTCTTCAATCGCCTTCTCAATTTCGTTCGACTGCCTCCTGCTTCTCTGCTCCTCTTCTTTTCCGTTGTTCAATTTAGGGGGAATTCTGAATCTGATCATCGACAATGTCATCAACAGAGAAGGAGAGAGAGGCTCATGTCTACATGGCCAAGCTCTCCGAACAGGCAGAGCGCTACGAAGGTATACAAACAAAATACAGCCAATTTCCAAGCCCTAGAATTTTTCTAACAAAGTAGGGATTTGGATTTTTGTTGTTGTTATTGGTGAAATTGTAGAAATGGTGGATTGCATGAAGAAGGTAGCAAAGTTGGACTGCGAGCTGACGGTGGAGGAGAGGAACCTGCTGTCGGTGGGGTACAAGAATGTGATCGGAGCGCGGCGCGCGTCATGGCGGATCATGTCTTCAATCGAGCAGAAGGAAGAGTCCAAAGGGAACGAGCAAAACGTGAAGCTAATCAAGTCTTACCGCCAGAAGGTGGAAGATGAGTTGGCCCAGATTTGCCAAGATATCCTCAACATCATCGACAAGCATCTCATCCCTTCCTCTGCCTCCGGCGAAGCCACAGTTTTCTACTACAAAATGTCAGTTCCCTTCTTGTCATTTTGGTTGTTACATTTAATCTCCAAGTTTCCGATTACATTTTGACTGTTCTTAATCCATTGGCATGACGGATTGATTTTGATCAGGAAAGGTGACTATTTTCGTTATCTTGCTGAGTTCAAAACCGAATCAGAGAAAAAGGAAGCAGCTGATCAATCACTCAAGGGCTATGAGGTACCCTTTTCATCATATCATAAATTCAATCCATTACTAGTAGAATGATGATTTCATTGATGAATATCCATTTTCATCATCTGTACAATTACTTGTGTATGTGATGCTTCATAGGCTGCTTCTGCTACTGCAAGCACAGAGCTGCCTTCAACGCACCCAATCAGGCTTGGCCTTGCACTCAACTTTTCTGTTTTCTACTATGAAATCATGAATTCTCCTGAAAGGGCCTGCCATTTGGCCAAGCAAGCTTTTGATGAAGCAATTGCTGAGTTGGATACGTTGAGTGAGGAGTCCTACAAAGACAGTACCCTCATTATGCAGTTGTTGAGAGACAATCTCACTCTCTGGACTTCTGACTTGCCTGAAGATGGAGGTACGTACTCCCACTTCCTTCTCTATGCTTCTTACACTCATATCAAACCATCTTCTCTACATTCAACTTCTTACATTTTCTGACCCAATAGTCCTCATCAAATGACCTAAAAGCACGCATATCAAGATGCAAACGTCATGCCATGACACTTCGGGTGTGAAGTATTAATAGTTAGAAACCATAATCACTTTTATGAATGATCGATCAACAGAATATAGTTATAAATTAATTTGTACTTTTATTTGTTAATGGTTTCAGGTGAGGATGGCTTCAAAGGTGATGAATCAGGCACCAAACCTACAGAACCAGGAACAGCAGGGGTTGGTTTTTTGGAACAAGTTTCTTCTTCTACTTGGGAAAATAATAAAAACCATGCTCCACTAAACTGTTCACTTCTTTATTTTTGCAGAAATGAAGGAAACATGCTTGAGATTTGAGAACCAGATGGACAAGAGACTAAGCTGATGGTTGATATATATTACAATATATATATATGTTTGCTGAAGTGTGCACTGCTCCCCCAATATATGATCTCTAATATTGAGTTAGCTTTGATTCCAAATAGTACCGATTGAGTCATATGAATAGTTATAGAAAAAGAATTAATACCAGAATTTTGGCTTTCAGTTTCTTGTGTCATTTATCCATTTTCTTTATTCCTTTTTGGAATCCAGAAAGTGATTAGGTCCCTCCTCACTAATGGGATTTGGACCAAAATCAATATATGATTTCGGCTCTTTTCATTTGTTTAATTGTGGTAATTAATAATCCGAATTTTTTCTCAGAGTACATTAGTTATTACAATGATTTCTCATAGTACACAAGTTATTATAGAATATATGAATCTAAGCATGTTTCGGCAAGATCGCTTTAGTCAAAAGTAAACTAGCATTGATTGCTTGTGACAAAAACTATGAAAGTCTGCTTGATGTGGAATAACACAATTCAAAGTTAATTGCTTTATGGAAGGACATTGTTCCACAATTGATCACTTTAGAAGGGAGCGGTCAAAGCTTCATCGCTTAAGGAAGCAATCAACCTTTGATCGCTTTAGAGGGAAGCAATCAATACTTAATTTCTTTGATGAAAGCGAACAATTTTTGTGTGCCCGATCACTTTTGGCATGACATGTCTTTAGGATAAGTTTAGGTAGACACAACTTTGAGTCAACTGGTTTAAGGCTTGGGACAAATCCCATGCTATCTTCCCAAGACTTATGTGGGATAGAGGAGTTGATACCACCCAAATTGGTGTTTTTAGCTCCACGGGTGTTAGTGTTTTCATGTCGTTTTATGCATCAACGAGTATTTAAATTCACACTTTAGCCTTCATTCACTTTCTAGCGTATATATGAGATTTATCAGGTCAAGGTGTGGGTTTAAGCCATATGTAGAAGATTAGTGTATCAAGTGTAGGGGAATGGGGCAAAGAGAGTTTGCGTGCAGATGGCAAATGATCACGATTGAGAACATTCTGTAAGATTTTTAATTCACGTGACATCTGATAGTTCACGGTCGAGATCTTTGTCCTGATCCTGTGAACTTAGGGAATCTAGCAAGAAGGAGAACATAATGTATTTCCGCTCAACTCGCGGTCATTCAGCTCGAGACCGCAAAAAAGGATCACAAACGCAAGAAATGTTTACGAATGGGTTCTTCAACCCATGATCTTTGAAAGCAAACAATGCATAACAGCATCCCATGAAGATCTAGTGACATTTTTCAAGCTCACGTTTGTGATATTTTCAAGTTCATGTTCGTGAACTTCGCCGAGAGAGTCCATGCACTTGTCTTACATCAATCTCCTATAAGTAGATGAAGACCCCAAGGATTGAAAGAAAGGTCGACAGAGAGAAAATTTTACACAATTGTATGTCAGAGAGGGAGGTGGAGGTGCAAATTAGGTCAAGGCATTGTCGGTCACAGAAGCAAAGCCTCATAGAAGAGGTGGGAGAATGTGGGGCCTCAAGAAGAGCTCGATTCATGGTTTATCCTCCTCCGTCCAAGCTATGTAGGAAGAGTTTGCATTCAACACGTCAACTCTAGATGGTAAAGTAGTTCACTCCCACTCAAAGTGCATGCAGTCGAGGGTGACATATGAGCTCTTCGAGTGTACCCTAGTCCATGTCAACATGGTTCGTTGAAGGTTGAGGTACTCTATGATGGTGAAGATATAACCCCCTTCATGGAAGCTGCCTTGACCAATTCTTCCTCGAAACCTTATCGAACATCTGGGCCACCCGTCACCCTGGATGCACCCAAAGGTTGTCTATGATGGAGTGGAAGAGGAGCATATCATGCGTGGAGAGCATGTGGCCCTCTCCATCAGGGTGGTGGTAGAATGAGACGCGACCAAAGTGCTACACAAACCATAGAAAGTGGTATGTGTTCCTGCTGGAGTAAGACTCGCCAGTTGTGAAGGACGGCTAGAGCATTTTTAGAGATTCCAAAGGGCATTGTCCTTCACATTCCTTACCCTTCACTTGTAATGGAGTGTCATACAAGCGTTCGAAATACTTCCAAGGGGAAGGTGGATAATGAAGATGCCTAACTTCTCACGAAGACGTCGTAGCTCTCGTAGAAAGCTCGCTCGTCAATAAGGTACCATATGCAAGGTACTAAGTGTTCTTGCTCTTCCTAAGGGAGAAGAAGGCAAGAAATTCCTTGGTCAGCACCTCAATACCATCATCCCTGATGGAAAATAGTTCATATAGATCGGTAACTTCGAGCCTTTCGAAGAGCTCAAATCCCCAGTCGCACTATCGAAAGAGGTCCTATGACATAGTTCATCATGAGGGGCAATTGGAATGTCATTCCAATGAATCGTCTTGAGTCATGAACTTGTGTTGGAAAAATGAAGTAATGGGTTCATTAATGTAAAGGAAGAGAAGGAAGGGGTTACATTTCGGGTACATGTTTGGCATTGTTTTGCCCGACGTCATCTCTAACTCGTCTAATGTCTCCATTAGGACATGATTGTCATCATCAAAGTGGAAAACTCTCTGGGTGCATCAAGGGGAAACCCTGGGAGTCTAGAATGAGACCTCCTCATCGTCTTCCTGGGCCATATGGACTTCGTAAGGATCATTCCACTACTGAAGGCAGCAGAGGGCCATGCTATGGCATCTAGCCTTTAGAGGAGTAGCTACGTACTATAAAAGCATGGGACTCTCTCGATCTTCTCTTCGTGAAGAGGAGGATGAGGTTCTTTTGGCTCTCCTTAACTTTTTGTTAATACAATTCATGATCATGCAAACATCCCAAAACAACCAAATGTGAATTTCAACCACCCCACATTTTATACAACAGAATGCTTTGATTTCATATCCAAAAACTGGTTTATCCCATAAAATGCTACCTTTGGCACAATCTTTGCAAGCTGGACACGACAAGAGATATGCCCATGCCATATGCCCTGTGAAGCTCGGAAGAAATGGCTAAATGTGGTTAAATCAAATTATAAAAGATGTGATGGACAGTCACATAGGTCATAAGATTTAAGCGAGTAAAATCATACCAAATCATACATTCGTTATACTAATGATGGAGTAAGAATTGAATGGTTTATTTCCTATGCCAAACCAAATGTGAAAACCCAAGCATACCTAAGTGAATGGCAAGTAAGGATGTTAAATGAATCATGAACACATGACTCAAGTAAAGACGAATCATGTTGATCCATAACTAAGGTAAAGTCGATAATTGCATCACGAATCATGACAATCCACATGAAAATTCACTAGCCCATCACTCATCCATGCCAAGTAACCATAAAAACATCATCAATTTGATCAAGAGAGGGTTTATATAAATACTCACATTTCTGGGGTTAGGCACACAGGTTTCAAATCCCTCAGTAGGCAATTGCATTAATCATTCATCAAATTGAGTTATTCAAGCACCTAATCATGTCTAGATAGGACACATACTTCGAAGTCATGACTACGCAAAAAATCAAAGAATGGAGTGGGGCTTGAGTGGAGGCCTTAGTGATGAGATGATGGTCTTCAACTTGGGATGAAATGGAATGTAGAGGATTGTACAAGGAGAGTGCTTTGGGGTAGTGGAGGAGATGGTGGGTTGTGTTGTTTTGGTGTTTGATTGAAGAATTAATAGATATTGAGGGTGTTTTAGAGAGGTTTGTGAGGATTTTTTCGCAATGGAGGAGGTATTTTGAGCTAAGGAATCAAAGGGGTAAAGTGACGCCGAAGATGAGTAAAAATCCGACCCTCTTAATTGGAGCCCAACAAGTCCAAAATGTGCTCTAGACCTCCATTTTCAGCTCTGTTTTGGGTCGGTCAATTTTTGGTGGTTACGCTCTCTTGGCCTGGTGTGGTTTGGTTTGTTTGACGTTTTAATGCACTGGAAGACCCAAATAAGCATAGAAAAGTTCAAAATGGCATTAGGAAAATGTACTTGAGGTTTCAGAGATAATTCATTAGCACGAAAAGATACTATCACCTTCAACTAAATCAATTAAAATATAATCAAACTTTTTATTTATTAACCAATCCGTATGACAAAACAAGAAACTTACAACAAAAATATGTAAATAAATTTGAGGTATCTCCCAGGAGTACTTTTGGCAAACTCATTTTTTGGAATGATCGATAAAAGGCACCATAAGATCCTTGTAGATGAGGCCCAACTTGTCGTTCACCTATAGAGTAGATCCTGATGCTGCTTCTAGGGCTCTGTGAGCTTGCATCCCCAGCTTCTTCATGTGAAGAGTTGGATTTGTTCACGCCCATTGGTTGGACAATGTTAATTGTGTGCTCCATCCTTCATATTATAAAGGTGATATATCTTTTGGAGGCAACGATCAAGGCTTCAGAGGTAGTGATAAAGTTTCTACCTAAGATAATAGAATACTCTTGCTTTTCCTTTGCATCCATGACGATTAAATCGATATATAAATCAAAGGAACCGACTTGGAGGGGAAGGTCACGAACAATCCCATTGGCACAATAAGCTGAGGTATTGGCCACACGAAGGTGATCCTTCCTCCTTTCCATGATTTCTATGCCCAACATCTCATATATGTAATATGATAGAATATTGGCTCATGCACCCATATAGATGAGGGCGGGAGTTTATTAAGCTAGCATCGTAGGAAGAGCTTCCCAAAGATTTAGTGTTTCTTTTTCAAAATCTTGATCTACACGTTTGGAGGGATGAGCATAAGCAGATCAGAGGGTTTTTTTTGCGGAGTATTCCCTTCATTGTGCAGGGTTAGGCATCCTTGCAATGACCTTCAAAATGGGTGCGACAATTTCCATGCCTCCTAGAGCTATTAAGAACGCATGCATAGTCTTCCCCTAAAATTGGTGCTCTTGCCGCCATTTTCATGCTTATTTTTGTTGTATGGGCTGTCGTTCCTCTTCTCTTATGGTGAAACTTCATGATAATGGCAAGCATAGAAGGGGGGGGGGGGGGGGGAGAGAGAGGGGGGTACCTACAGGTGGGAGACCTTTTTCCATAAAAAATAGGGATTTGGCCCCCTTCTTCCTCTTCTTTAAGGAAAGTTTTTTTTCCTTTCAAGTTAGTGAAGGAAAATGAATTCCTTGTGCGTTTAGGAGGTCTTCAAGGGGGGGGGGGTTATGTTGGTCAAACTTCAATTTTCTCTGAGTTTGAATTTTTGGTGGCCTAGACCTAAAATCGATGGTCTAGACGACTGAATTCAACGCCAATTTTAGATTCATCCCAAATGTTGAATTTTTCTCATAATAGTCTCCCTCTTTCATTTGGTTGGCCCAAAATAGGATCTGGAAGTTTAATTTCATGATGTGATCATGCCATGTATGAAAGAAATCCATCTGGGGGCCCGTCTACACTGGAAGCAATATACTCAC